GGAACCAGTGGGCGAGGCGTGCGCCAGGCGCAGCCTGCGCGTGGATAGGGCTATCGTGGTGATGGTGGTCGTCGCAGCGGTGCCCGCGGCGGCGCATACTCAATGTTCAATGTGCGGCCACTTTGGTTGCGACAAGTACAGCAATGCCTGCTGCAGCATCTGCGGCGGTAGCTACCTCAACCACGGTGACGCCGGCAAAACCAAGGTGTCCAACACTACGCAGCTCGCCAACGATCTCGCGGAGTTGGCCAAGAAGTACCCTCAGATGGCTGGTCTTCTCGGGCAGGTTGGCCAGCGGACCGCAGTGGCGTCTGTCGCGCCCCCTCCGCCCCGTCCAGTGACAAGGGTGTGGAGAAGCAGGTTGAGGCCAAGTTCACCGAGCTGGCAAAGGACGTGGAGGTCCAGTCTCGAGCAGAGAGGATCGCCCAGACTGAGGTGCAGTCCAGGCGCGCTGCTGCCATTCGTCACCGTGAAGCGTTTGCCCAGGCCGAGGCTAAGCACGCGCAAGCGGTGCAGCATCTTCACGAGCAGCAGGTCGCCCGCCGCGCAGCCAATGCCGAGAAGGAGTCGTTCGTGGCAGACGACTACCGACGACATCTTCGTTGAGGAGGAAGATCGTGTGCGCGCTGAAGCACAGCGTACATTCCAAGCCCAACAAGAAGCTGCCTCGGTGGCCGCAGCAGGAGCACATGTCCAACACGTTCCGCATGGTGGACCTGCTGGCGTGCCGCCTGGTCCTGTTCCAACGGCTGGTGCTGCTGGTGTTCCTTCGGCTGCACCAAGCTTGGGCCCAGCGGCAGGTATCGGTGGCTCTGGCGGGCAGGCTGGCGTCGGCCATGGCGGTGGCAAGGGCCCGGGCGCAACGCCGCCGCCGAACCTTGGAGGCCTTTGCGACGAAGCACTCCAGGCATGGTGCAGCGCCCACAATCAGAGGTACGAGTTTTGGAACAAGATGCGGCGTATGGAGGAGGCCCGTCAGTTTGAAGTACCTGGCTCCGATATGGCTAGCGAGTGGGGTGATAATCGTGCTGCTGAATTGGAAAGCCTCGAGAAGCGATCGTTGGAATCCGCCCTCTCTGAGTCTGCTCGGGATCGGTCGGAAGCTCAAAACCTCAGAGAAGGCTTGCAAACGATTCAGGCGTATACGCGAGGACGCCGCCGCCAGCTTTTGGCGAGTTCTGGGACAGATGGTACCACGAGCAGGAACCCCAGTGGCGCAGGCACCCCCAGCAGGCGGCGGACGCGGACTTCCTGCAGCTGCCGCCGAGGGTGCTGGAGCTCCTGAGCAGCAGCCGCGTTTTTAACAGGCACACGGGCGGCATCGAAGCTGCTCACAGTATCGACTTTCTGTTCTGCAACACCACTGCGTGGAATGATGTTGCGCTTTCGTTTGCTTGGGGCGTGAAACCCGAGTGTGACGGGTTTCCTTTTGCAGAGTACCATCTTGTTGGAGACAAGACAGGTCTGGCCAAGCGAAAGGCCAGGCAGATGAAGTGAAATCCTATTTTTTTGAATGCTACCCCCACCCCCGTGGGCGGCTCTCACGGCGGCGTTGGGGCGTTGGTTTTTCCGAGGCTTGAGTTTTTTTTTTTTTTTTCTTTTCCCCCTTTCTGCGGGGTGTTTCTGGAATTAGGGACGCAACGCGCCGTGTTAGCCATGGAGGTAGTTTATTTGGTGTCGGGCTTGGGTGTTTACGGAGAGAATGTCCAACGTCTGCGTGAAATATCTGGATTCAGGGGAACTCTGGCTATACCGTGGGTCCTCCCCTCCTGTGAGATTATAACATACCTGCTGGAGATCTGGATTTCTCAGGCTTCCCTAGATCGGCCATGGGTAGAGTTCTGACACCGCAGTGCATCGAGTTCACCTGCGCCCAGGGGCGTGGGTCTCTCATTGGTTTCGTCGTCGCATCGGAGGACATTGCTAGTTATGTGGCCGTTACTACATAGAGCTCCTCCCCGTTCAAGACCCACGCGTGCCTGAAGGCTTCCGTGGACCAGGGGGCTGTGGAGCAGCAACTCTAGCGGCGCGTTAAACCTCTGCCTTTCCCTGCTTGCCCAGGTCCTGATCTTCCGTGGGAGGTCTCCTTGAAGCAGAATGTGGGTGAAGGGGGCAGCGACCCCCCTCCCCTTTCCTTGCTGAGCATCTATTACCTCATGTCCAGGGCCATCTCTCGCCGCAGCTGGCGGAACAGCATTTGCTCTGGAGGAGGACGACTGCGCGAATGTTCTCATCCAGAGCCTGTGCTGTTGATAGTGGGCATCGAGTTTGCAGCGAACGGGGAGGCTATCCGCATTTTAAGTCACCCAAAATTGGCAGGAGAGGCTTTTGTGGCCAGAGTTCCCAACAACCACCGTTATGCCAACGTCTCTCAATCTCTGTGGGGATACCGTTTCTCTATGGCCAAGAAATCCTGGACCAAAATCTCCGGGCCCCCCCAGCTGTTGGGCAGTCTTGCTGGGCAGGTCAATCTACACGGGCCCCCTGGGGGGCCTCGACCAGCTGAGTGGTGGTTTGCCCGTTTGGCCAATGTCCCCGATATGTTTCTGAACTTAATGAACTAACTGATGCCTGCCTTGCGGCAGTTGCCAAGGCTTGGACTGCAGCGCGCGCTGCGTCCGAGGGCGGCGTGAAGAAGTGGCTGTTGAAGGCCCTACCACGAGGAGCTAAACGAGTACACTCCTGGCTTAAGTTTGACCAAGGAGCTGATTTTGAGTATCTGGTTACCACCAAGGAGGTTAAGGAGCCCCCCATCAGGACCTTATGGAGCACCGACAAAAATTATGGGGCGGATTTTGGAGTGCCCCCCCTAGTACGCGTGAGGCTCTCTCTGGGGTCCTGGATGTCCTGAGACCCGTGGCGCTGCGTGCGGCGCAGGAGTTAGAGCCCCTTGACCCTCGAGATATTGTGAGGGCCTCTCTGGTGTTTCGTATTGAGACTGCGGTCGGGGTGGACTGTTGGGCTCCTCGGTTGTTGGGCTCTTTGCCTCGTGCCGCTGTTGGGGTCTACGCTGAGTTCCTCAATCAGTGCGAGTCGCTCATGATGTGGCCTACCCCGGTGATGCTCGGCATTGGTGCCCTGTTGCCCAAGGTTGCGGGCGCGGTGCGTCCAGCGTGTATGTGCCCTACCCTGTATAGGATTTATTGCAAAGCCAGAGGAACGGACATCGACGACTGGAACGTCCAGCGGTCCAATTTCTGGGACACCGCTATTCGAGGATCCTCTGCTCTTCAGGCCGCCCTTCTCAGAGAAGTCGGGTATGAGATTGCGCATTACCTTCATATGACGTCAGTGGGTTTATATTGGGACTTGAGTGAGTTTTTTGATACGGTTGACCCTCTTCGCCCGGCTGGATTCGCCATGGATATGGAGTATCATGTGCACCTGCTGTACCCGGGGATTCTGATGCCTGAGGCCCCGCGCATCCTGGAGGTCGGGGGTTCCGTCTCGGACCTCATCCCCACTGGGTGCGGTGTCCTGCCAGGTTGTAGCCAGTCTATGCCATGGATTAAGATGTAGTCGTATGACTTGCTTGATTTTGCTCACGTTCACTACAAGCCAATGTGTACCCAAGCTTACGTGGGCGATATCACTAGGACCCCGCAGGGCACGCAGTCCGAGATCTTACAGAGAATACTTCCCGCTGCGGCTCACTTGCGTCATGAGCTGGAGGCTGCTGGCACCATCATCTCCGATAGGAGTGCCTTTGCCTGCTCGGATCGGGAGCTGAAGGGCGAGTTGACTCTCCAGTTCCAGACGGCAGGACTTCCCATCCGTCCCGAGGAGAGGGTCTGAGATTTGGGGGTCATGACCACGGCTGGAAAACGACGGTGCGTTTTCAAAGGTAAGCAACGTCAAGCTAAAGCTATGGCGGACCACCCTGGCGGGCTCCTACTTGCCGACCTGGCGCAGGCTGCTTGCCGCCCTCGCCGGGCTCGACGCCCCGCGAGGCGCCTTTGGCCGCGCGACCCGGGATGACCTCTAGGGCCGGGCTCGCGCGCCGGCAAGCGCGTCTGGAGCCGCGGGGCCCAGGAACGTCTCGGCGCCGGTCTGCCCGCAGCGCTTTCGGCTCCCCTGGCGGCCAGGATGGCAAACGGCACTCGACCCGCGCCCGAGGGGCAGATGGGGTGCTGCCCAGCTCGCCCTGGACGCCCAGGCGGGGCCGAGGCGAGGCTGGCTTTCCTTCGAGCTGGCAGCCGCGTGGCGGCGACGCTGGACGTGGGCCCGCTGCCCCGCGTGGGGGCCGCTCGGGCCACGCTGCAAGTAGGGCTCGGGTGCCCGTGCCTCGCCCCCTGGCCGCCGCGGCCCGGCGGAGGCGAGTGGATGCTGCTGCGCGTGGGGGCCAGGCAGCCAGCCGGCGCGAGGCGGCGCCGGGCGAGTACCTGCGCCTGGCGAGCCTGCGGCCTGGCGTGGGCAGGATGGCGCTGCGCGGGCTCTGCAAGGAGCGCGGCTGGGCGGCAGCTAGGCCTAACTTTCAGGAGGCCGAGGGCGCCCTAGCGGGCTGGTCCTCAAAGCTGCCTCCAGCGCTCGGTGGCCCGCCTCCTTGTGAAGCGCTGCTGCTGCTGCTGCTCACGTGCCTAGTTCTCGACAGCGGCGCCAGCAGCGACTTGTCGGTGACGTTAGGCGCTGCTGTTCAGTTCGACATGTACTGTCGGCCCGGTGAGTTGCTAGCCATTAAGCCCGAGCGCGCGTTTGGCTCTCGCGCTGACGCGACTGTCGTAGTTGCGCCATTAGGGGAAGGGAAGCCTGCGAAGAACTGAGATTTTGATTGTAGTGTGAAGGCGGGAACAGAGCTGTCGTTGAGGTTGAGGAGCCGCGCTCGCCGTCTCTTCCTGCCCATCCTTTTTCACCCGCTTTCTTTTCCTCAGAGAAGATGTCGAAAGCTGCGGCCACCCCTGCTGGCGCGGGTGATCTCCTGTCCATGCCTCACCAGTTGCGCCGCGGTGGACCTTCGCACGACGCTTTGAGCGGCGCGCGGCCCATCGAGGCCAGCCAGCAGAGGGGCCGCTGGCGCGCGAAAGAGAGCGTTCGGATCTACGAAAAGCACGGTTCGGCACTGCGACAGCGCTCGAAGCTCACCTCAGAACAGATCGAGCGCGCCCGTCATTTTACAGAGAGTCGAGCACGCGACATCTTTCGTCGCGTGTGCGCGTGACCTCGCTCGACGGCTGCTGCAGCGCGTTCCTGTCCCACCCGCCTCCCCTGGGGCATTTGTATATGGGGATGGGGCACGAGTTTTGTGATGTGTGATTTCTTTGGAGGTTGTTTTAATGCGCTGTCCGGCCGAGGGCCGAACCTTTGTTGAGAACCATCCGTGGATGCCACGGCGCTTGCAGCTCGGGGTCGTTGTGAGGTTGTAAAAAATGCGCCTGGGCCCAAAGTGCTGTCGCTTGTTTCCGCGACCCCTGGGGGGGCCGTGCCTTTGAAGTAGGAGCGAATTGTCTCTGATTCGTTTTCCTGCAACCGAGTGGCCTCGAACGTGTCCGATCGTTGCGTCGTTTGCTGCGTTCCCATTCTCCCGGTGACACTCTGGCTTCAAGCTCCCCCCCCCCCGCGCGCCACGAGTTCTATGATCGAGACTTCTTTGGAGGTCTTTAATGCACTGTCCGGCCGAGGGCCGAACCTCTGTTGAGAACCATCCGTGGATGCCACGGCGCTTGCAGATCAGGGTCGCTGTGAGGTTGTGAAAAAATGCGCCTGGGCCCAAAGTGCTGCCGCTCGTTCCCGCGACCCCTGGGGGGGCCGCGCCTTTGAAGTAGGAGCGAAGTGTCTCTGATTCGTTTTCCTGCAACCGAAGGGCCTCTGGCTTCAAGCCCCCCCCCTCCCCCCGCGCACCACGAGTTCTATGATGCGTGACTTCTTTGGAGGTTTTTAATGCACTGTCCGGCCGAGGGCCGAACCTTTGTTGAGAACCATCCGTGGATGCCGCGGCGCTTGCAGCTCAGGGTCGTTCTGAGGTTGTGAAAAATGCGCCTGTGCTGTCGCTCGTTTCCGCGACCCCTGGGGAGGCCACGCCTTTGAAGTAGGAACGTGTATTAATTTGCGTGTCCCAGGGCCCCTTCAATGATGCGAATTCGGGTCATATTTGTGTCATTCCCCCCTACTGCCCGAGTTCGGAGCCAATTCAGGCATTTGCCTTCTCATCCATGTCCAGTGCACAACGCCAATCCCACTCGGACGGGACACACTCGGCTCTGTTTATTCGCGTTTCCAGAACACACACAAGTTTGTTTGTGTTTAGGTGTGTGTGTGTGTGTGTGCGCGCATGTATCGTCTCCTGGCTTGCTATCTCTGGACCTGCCGATCTAATCATGAATACGGGCAAACATCGGGACAACCAACGGGGTAACCTGTCGGATAACCATTCCGTATGTGTTCCAATATCTTCCCGTCCCACTGACTGCTTGCCGATTTGCAGTTTCAATATATTGACCGGCCCCCTGGTCTACCTATTGGGATAACTTCCGAGACAACTATCGGGACAACCATGATGACAACCGTTCTGTCCGTCCGTCCATCTATCTATATATGGGCCCACATGCCTACCGGACCCGTTATCTGCCGACCAATAGCACTTGCAGCTTAATGCCGGTTCCATTCAGCAGGTATCGGGACAACCATCGGGATAACCGTTCACACAACCATCAGCGCAACCATCATCACTATCATGTCAAACACATGATTCCAGATTGCGGACGTGTGGGTCCCGATGTTTACGGGCGAACATAAACAAAGCAACGACGCATGGCTTCATTCGCGGGCGAAAGGGACCCACGTGTTTGGGGGTCCCGAGGCCTACGGGCGAGAGGGGCCCATGTAAAGACGAACGTTGTCACCCCACAAGCAAGCGAGACGCATGTGTCTTGCTGGTCCCGGATCCGAATGGCGAAAGGCACCCAGGTATAAACGCATGGTTCCAGCTTGCGGGCGAAGGGGACCAGTAGGTTTCGTGGTGCCGAGGCCTACGGGCGAAAAGGCTTTCGGTAAAAACGAATGGTTTCAGCCCGCGGGCGACAGAATCTCCTAGGCCCCCAGCGAGCCACGCACGACACGAAACGATGTCACCCTACGCTTCACGCCCATACCCACCAGCTCCGATATTGGCGGTCAAATCAATGCGGCGCCTTGGGAGGGGCCGCCGGGCAACGCTCCGCTTCGCATTTTCCATGGAGCAGCCAGGCGACCACCCGCGGGACAGCCCACGACACGAAACCGCAGGGCAAGCCCGGGACAGCCCGCAGAACAGCCACTGGGCAGCCCACGGGCCAGTCGCTGGCTGACCGTGGGGCAACCGCGGGACCACTACGGGACAGCACGCCGGGCAACTACGGTGCGCAGCTTCGCCGTGCCCGCAATGGGGGACCGAAACTGAAACCGATTTCCGGCTGGGGCGCCCTCCGCTCTCAGCCTGCAGCCCCCGATCCTCGTAGATCGGCTGAACGTCTTCATCTGCATCCTGGGGAACACCCTTAGTGGGCCCTGGAAACGACAGGGCCGTTTTTTTACTGGTTCCGTTTTGCTGTTTTTTTGCTGGTTCCGACCCCGTTTCTTTACCGGTTCCGTCGCCGTTTTTTGACCGGTTCCGTCTCTGGTTCCAATCCTGGAGCCGTTTTTTGCCGTTTCCGGTCGCCGTTTTTTGCCGTTTCCATTTTCAAGGGATTTTTTTTTATTGAAACGGTGAAAAAACGGCCGTGCTGTTTCCAGGGCCCACAGAGGGAACACCATCTCCGTGATTTCCGTGATGTGTTTTGACGCAGCGCGCGTCCCACGCTTGTACTTCCCCGGCGACCATGCCGCCTACTGCAGCCGGGCCGATGTATAAGACCGAGGTCGGTTCGGGGAGGGCATCCTGGTGTTCTTCGTGTTTGCTGGACGTTCTTGTGCATCCGGGGGAAGGTGCACTTGGATGTTTTGCTCGTTTCGGGAGACGGAGGGGTCTCGTGTTCTTGAAGGGTGTTCTTCCGGCCTAGGTCCGACCGCATAGGTCCAATGGCATTTGAGATGTGTTTCTTTGGTTTCGTGTGTGGCACAGGGGTCCCGCATCTGTGCGGGAACCTCGTCGCCTGAGCCCATCGGGGGCCACGGGCTGGGCCAGGCCCTCGCTTCCTGCAGTCGTCCGGCTGCGGGGAGCCCATGGCCGCACGACTGCTGGGGACCCCTGGGGGGGTCGAATTACTTGACGTGATTCGGGATTGCGGGCAGCCTGGAGTCACTACGGAGGTGCCCTGACGGGCGGTAGTGCCCACGCCCTGGGCCCCTGGTGTTCCATAATTCGCCTCTTCCGAGCTGTGACTTGTTGCACTGTGGGGAACCCATCGCCGGACGGCAGCACTCGCCTTCCGTGGCTTTTGGGTTCCTTGGCCACAGTTCCAGGGACTACCGTAAGGGATAGCGGAACGCCTAAACGAGACCAGAGTCCCAGATATCCCGATTTGAGTTCGAATTCACTTGTATGTCCATCAACGTCCAGGCGCCACGATATGTGTGGAAGAGGCGAACAAGTTTGGATAGGGCCAGGTTCGCCCCATGAGCAAAATGCCTTTTCAGGACCCCTCTGAAAGAATCCGAGGAATGCGACACATGACGAGGGGAGGCGCAAAATGAAGCAGAGTCAGGGGGAGAGGGAGCGAGAGAGAGAGAGAGAGAGAGAGAGAGGGAGAGAGAAAGCGAGAACGAGGGGGATGGGTTCTCGCTCTCCTGGTGGGCGCGGATGTTCAGAGAAGTCTCGATTCCCATGTGATTCGGGGAGGGATTTGCCGGTTGGCGTGCGAAGAATCGCAGCCAGGCCCGTGGTGGAGCATATTTCAGGCAGGCCCCGGGAGCACCAGCGCAAGTCGCGTTCTCGCTTCGAGAAAGCTCTCGCATCGCGGGTGGGGGCTTCACTTAGAATCCCCCGGGAACTGCCTTCCACGGGTGGTCGCTCTTGGTTCATTTTCCCGGCTTGAGTTAGGAAGCAGTCTGGACATCTCGCATTTGGCGATGTCTCGCAGAAAGTGCGTACGGCGTCGGTGAGTGCTCCATGCCGAGACTTGTTGCTGAATCCTTGGTTGCTAAGTCTTGCAATGTGCGCTAGGGCTTGTCAGTGTGGAGTTCATTTTTCCGTCAGCTTGTCAGTTCGCTTTGTTGACCTCATGTTCCGCCAGTGTTCACCAGGATTCGTGCTTACCGTGCGCTGGTGATCGCTGCTTCGGGGTACCACCGCGCTCTTCTGGCGCATCCTTTTTTGCCAAGCAGCACAGAGGGCACGGGGGGGGTGGATCGTGGAGCGGACCGTTGGGGCGGGGGAGCTCGACACAGCAGCGAGAGCCCTGGCTTCGGTCCGCTCGCTGCCGCGTCGGAGCGCGGAGGGGCAGCGCCTGGGAGCGGCAGCGCCCAGGTCGGGCATCCAGATCTGGGCAGAGGCGCTGGACCTCCGGAGCGCCGCGTCGGACAGCACGTTCGTTGTGCTGTGAGGGGCTGGGGGGGGGGGGGGCGTGGAGGGCGAGCCGCCGCCCACCAGACCACCCCAGCCCAACCCGAAGGCCTCAATATCTGCCCTCCATTTCCGGTGGGGGGGAGGGCGTCGGGGAACGTCGACAAAAACACGTCTGGGGCCCGTACCCCCCCCCACCCGAAATTGGGATCTTCCTGTTCGGTTGGTGTGGCCTGGTGGGCAGTCAGTGAGGGCAGAGGCCCTGGCGCGTCTTTCTTCTGGCAGGGCGGCACTCGGCAGAGGTCGCCGCCCCGTGGCCGCCTGGTGAGCACAGGCATGCCCCCGTCGGGCTGCTGGCGGGCCTTGGTGACCGCTCGAGCCTCCGGCGCAGACGCCCCAGCTCTCCGACAATATGCTTCTCCTCCTCCTCCTCCTCCGCCTCCTCCTTCTCCTCCTCCTCCCTGTCCCGAGGGGTTTCCCTTCACGCCCCTGGCAGGTGGCCGTCCTCGGGCGCCGGGGCCAGCGAGCACTGATCTCTGGCGCGACAGCTGCCCTCAGAGGGGCCCCGGAGCTCTGTGGGCCGCGGGC